TGAAAAGGGCCGGACCTATGAAGAGACGAGTGAGTTTTTGGTTTCTTTCCCCATTTATTTGAAATAATTTTTTTACCTAATTGTGTCTGACCCCACTAACCATATGTGAATGGAATTATACAAAAGAAAAGAGAGTGCTCGATTCGAATAATGGACTTTTCTCATATGTCACTCTCAATATGTATATAAAGATTGATATGGTCCATCGCAATAGGAAAAACGTTAACTGCAAGCTATACATCAACATCTGTGTTGTATAAAAACAATATATATTTTATGTCAAATAGGTGTTAGAATTTGTGGCAAAAATGACCATACCGACATAGTTCTTCAGGGATTTGGTCAAAGTTGAAAGCTTTTGCTAGAGCATTAAAAGAGCTTGAATACATTTTTGGTTAATTTGGACCATCCTTCAGTTAAACTATGTAAATGCTGTTTTCAGGGAAATTAATGTGGATTTTATTCAAGAAGATGGGCCAAAATATGCCTTGAGACATGTTGAAAGTTCTAATTTCTTTTAATGATACAACCAAAAAATATACCTAATTCCCATGTGATTCTTTTATTGGCTTAATGAATGATTTTCATCAATTTGCAGGACAATCTTACAGCAATGCAATTGAAGAAATTGCTCAACTGTTTAGGCTTCACAAAATTTAATGGTAACGGTAAATATGTGTGATGAATTTCGACTTGTAACACTTAGGAAATTGTAAATATGTGCGATAAATTTCTTTTTCAATAAGTTTCTAATGTAAGAACGAACACCCACAATTCGTAGTTTCAGAATGAACCACCATTTGAGCACCCTTTTTTAAAATTATTTTTCGCTAAACTGATTTTTTAATCATACAATAGGCCGCCCCGAGTCTTTCTTTAACAATGCCTTTCATTTCTAGATGGGATGTGTGTGTGTGTCTTGCAAAGAGAACTGAGGAACTGTCTGGTATCTGGGATCCATTTATAATTGCTCGTTTCATTTTCTGACACATATAGCGACAATACGAACCTTCTTGGGATCCCTACCTTATATATCCCTTTCGCTGCCTTCACTGCAGTAAACAGTGTACACAGACACACTGCTACTGTGCTACACACGCAAAACCCAGAGCGAACTTAACTTTTCTTACCCTAAAAGAGTGAAAACATAGTTCTTTCATTTAGTTCTCATCACTAAATTAAGGTTGGTATTCGACTAGAAATCTGATGAGATGAATATGCATATATGCTCAAAGATGTGGTCGTAAAATTTACTTGTTTAAACCATATAAAACAATGTTATGTATGGAGAAATAGTGAATCCACATTTCATGTCACGTTATATCTCGTTTTCCATCTATCCGTGAACTTTATAATGTGTTAAATTGGCTTTATTTTCAATGTAAAATGTTATTTTCCACCCAAATTCCTATTTTTTGAGTGTTTGATCGATCTTTTTTCCATGAAAAATATTTTTCAACTTTTGATCATGTGATCATATTTTCTTAAAAAACAAGGAAACCATTTTCTTTAGAAAAGGGTGCTTTTTATTTTTTAAGTTATTCATTATCTCTCTCATTTACCCACTAATAAAAAATAGATAAGTATAATATTTTCTAGATTAAAAATAAACCAATCAAACACATTTAATTAATTATTTCCATGCAAATAAGTTTCAGGAATTTATTTTCTTTCAATACAAATTTTATTCTCGTAATCAAAAGCACCCTGTTGTATATTTGACAGTGTATAAGTTGTACATCTAACTGAATGCTTGAATAATAAGAGATTAATAATTATGGATTCTACGAAATATGTTGATAAAAGGTACGTTTTACTTGCTTAATTATAATTTAATGCACTAAATAAGGTTAGGCTAATTTGTGAGTTAGGCCTGGTTATGACAGATGAGTGCAGAAATATCAGTAGGGAATAGGGATAAGTGCCTCTTTGATTGCTGCAGTTTGGCTATATTCATAGATAAGGAGCTGCAGCCACAACCCTTTTGAAAAGGGCCGGACCTATGAAGAGACGAGTGAGTTTTTGGTTTCTTTCCCCATTTATTTGAAATAATTTTTTTACCTAATTGTGTCTGACCCCACTAACCATATGTGAATGGAATTATACAAAAGAAAAGAGAGTGCTCGATTCGAATAATGGACTTTTCTCATATGTCACTCTCAATATGTATATAAAGATTGATATGGTCCATCGCAATAGGAAAAACGTTAACTGCAAGCTATACATCAACATCTGTGTTGTATAAAAACAATATATATTTTATGTCAAATAGGTGTTAGAATTTGTGGCAAAAATGACCATACCGACATAGTTCTTCAGGGATTTGGTCAAAGTTGAAAGCTTTTGCTAGAGCATTAAAAGAGCTTGAATACATTTTTGGTTAATTTGGACCATCCTTCAGTTAAACTATGTAAATGCTGTTTTCAGGGAAATTAATGTGGATTTTATTCAAGAAGATGGCCCAAAATATGCCTTGAGACATGTTGAAAGCTCTAATTTCTTTTAATGATACAACCAAAAAATATACCTAATTCCCATGTGATTCTTTTAGTGGCTTAATGAATGATTTTCATCAATTTGCAGGACAATCTTGCAGCAATGCAATTGAAGAAATTGCTCAACTGTTTAAGCTTCACAAAATTTAATGGTAACAGTAAATATGTGTGATGAATTTCGACTCATAACACTTAAGAAATCGTAAATACGTGCGATAAATTTCTTTTTCAATAAGTTTCTAACGTAAGAACAAACACCCACAATTCGCAGTTTCAGAATGAATCACCATTTGAGCACCATTTTTTAAAATTATTTTTCGCTAAACTGATTTTTTAATCATACAATATCTCAATAAAATAATTGTGAATGTGAATGCAAAACCTTTTCCCATTTTTTGTCACATTTAAAAAAAAAAAAAAAACACTTTTTACAAACTCATTTAAAAAAAATGGGGCTCAAACTAGCTAATTAGATCGTATTTTCATCTTTCCAATGATATATATAGTCTATGGAACAAAAATCTTTATACCAAAGAACAAGAATCATTATACTGAATTTACATCTTAATTTCTGGCTAACTAATTAATGTCTGGTAATTCAAAAAGAACTTAAGAAAAATAAGCTGATAACTGTCTATTAATAATGTCATATATTTTCCTAGCAAAAAAAAAAAAAAAAATTGAAAAAGAAAAAATGAAGAAGAGAGAACTCCATGGTACAAGTTGCTTCACGTAATCTCACTGCAATTTATTTATTTTTATTTTTGTGGTCCTTATCTGTGTACTAAGCGCAAGCTTTAAAGAACCCTATATTGGTCCCTCCTGCACTGATAATCTGATATCAGTAATCTCATCCACCACAACTTTTCAACTGGAACTTATCTAATTAACTTTCCTTTCACTTCTATAATTCTTTGCATGTGTTTACAATAATAAACTCCATATATTATTGGCTAAATCTTTATTAATTTTCTTCATTAATAACAACTAATTAAGAACAATTGTGTACAAATAATGTCCAATTTGAACTTCACTCCAGAAGGGCTCAATAGAAGTGTTATAAGCTATAGGCATGCATGCTATAAATTTGCTCATAAAAAGCTATTTGCAGTTGGCAAAAAAGCATCATAGGTCGGTCCCGGTTGATCGTTCTAACTTAAGAATGATTTATTAGAAATTGATAATCATGTAAATTTAAAGAGAAAATGAATTAATCGTTCGTTATTTTATCGAATTTTTAGTAAATTTACTAAAATTTACGTGTCAGCATACGTAAAGGCCGCTTGGTGGCGAATACACCATAGCTTTCCTTTTTTTAAAGAGATAAAATCCCACACCGAATAAGATGAAAAAATAGACCAATTTATTAAGAGTTTGGACTATTAATCTTAATAAAGTTGACATTTTAAGATGAAACCTCAAGTTCTAACATGGTATTAGAGCTCATTAAGTTCCAACGAACAGCTTGATCCGATTAAGACTCAGAAAAATGAGCATACGGATTTCAAAATTGGTCTGCTCAAACGAGGAACCAATTTGTGAGTCTTGTCAAGAGACAAAATCCCACATCGAATAAAATGAAAAAATAGACCAATTTATAAAGGGTTTGAACTACTTCTTTTAATAAGATTGACCTTTTAAGATGAAACCTCGAGTTTTAACAGTTTCTGTGGTAATATCCTATCATCTCTTATTTCCACAGGTTGAAACTTGAATATATTAATTGCTTTTGAGAAAATGAAAGCTTCATATCAAGTTTTATTCTTTCCTCAAAGCTTATTTTGATGCAAATTCAATTTCAACTTTGAAAGAGCACTTCAGTGTCATCTTCCTGGCTATGCTTGCAAATAAAGCCGAATCCGATTGATCAACTGTGATATACCTAGAGCTGTGAGTTCCTTTCGTGATCTTTACTAATTTCTCAATTTGTTGACAGAAGAATTTTAGTTTCCCTTTATGAAATTCTCCATGTTCATCATCTATCACAACTAACTATGTATCTTGTTTCAGTTAATTTTTATCTATTTTAAAAAACCTAATTATATTGCACAAAGGTATAATTTTTATGGTTATCACATGATTTTTGATCTGTTAATTACTATATAATTTGCTTTTCCTGAAATGCTTGAATTTGGCATCTCTCCACATATTTTTTCTGTGAAAATTCATCACTTGAGGGTGAACAGTGAACAGTTTATAATTAGAGGATAAGAAGAACAGGAAAACAAGATGAAAATCCATATAATATCTAAAATTGAGCGACGTTAACGAATTATATCTTGTTATGAATCAAGCCCTAATCTCTATTTACGAGAGCAATATCAACGGTATAATTTAGATCTTGCAGATCAATAATGAAGCAAATGATCATATGATCATGAATTCAAGATCAGAAAAAGATTTTCGAGCAAAGCAAGAAGGCGATGCCTACAATTCCAGCAAATTTTCAGAGATCCCACCTTCTTCATCAAGACGGTGGTCATCATCCTTAAAAAATCCAAGAATTGTACGCGTCTCACGTAACTTTGGAGGCAAAGATAGGCATAGCAAGGTGTGTACTGTGAAGGGATTAAGAGACCGAAGAATTAGGCTTTCAGTTCCTACTGCAATTCAATTGTACAATCTTCAGGACAGGCTTGGACTCAGCCAGCCTAGTAAAGTTGTAGACTGGCTACTCGATGCAACTAAACACGAAATTGATAAGCTTCCCCCTCTTCCAATGCCAACCGGAATGAATTTCAGCCATTTTCCAAATGATCATCATCTATCATCGAGTCTTTCCCACTTTTCGAATACAAATCAAGCTTATGCGAAGGATTCTGGACTCAATCACGTGTTTTTCTCACGCAAGGAAGAATTAGGGATCAAGAATGTAAGTAACCATGTTGAAAGGGTACATCAGAATCAAGAAAATCAAGAAGGTTTTGGTGGATATGTGGCACAGAATTTTTTCCCACAAGGAAATTATCAATCTCCTTTTCCTACACCATTGCTGAATAATCCCTACTTTAATTGGGATCCTAATCCAAGCTTGTCTTTATCTCAATTTGGAGCTGGAGGTCATTCTTATCCAAATCAAACAGAAGAATCCCACAACAATATTTCTGCACCTTCAAGCTCTCAACTGTACTTCTATCCATCCGGGACAGCAATACCATCGTTAAATTTTCCTCCATTAATCCCATCATTTATGACAACATCAATGGAGAATGAGTTGAGACAAAGTAATTACTTCCAGCAACAAAATTCACTGATGCCAACCCTTCATTTGATTGGCTCTCCAATGATATCTTTTGGGTCGAATGCCAATCAGAAAACTGTCCAATTGCCCGAAAAAGGTAACAACGAAAGCAGCAGTTCTTAGGCCTTAGCCATGCAAGAATTGTTGCACAGTACCGAGGATCATGGAAGAAACAAAGTATGCAGTTTTCAGCTTTGCAGATAATGAATACAGTTAAGGCATTCGTGAATCTTTATATACTATTTATTTCCAAAAAAAATATATACAGGTACACTGAAAATTTGTCATTTACAACATTTTCATCGTCAGATTCAACTTCAGAAGCTAATAGTTGATGATTTACTAAAAATATGTAAAATGTGAGACAAGTTGCACGCAGTTTTATGTGCTGGTTAAGTAGTACTTTCTATCATTTGATTTTGCAGTTCCCTCCATGTTATTTTCTTGCTATATATACAATTTTTCATTATGTTCTTTGACTGATATGCATAAATTACTGAAATCTATCTCTGGAAATTGACAATGCAATAATTGTTAAATGTATAATACACTTTCGGGTCGAAATGAGAATTTAGCGTTTTGAGTCAAATGTATTATGGAATTATTTTCTTTACCCATATGCTTTCTTTAATTAAAATGTGGTGTTTTAATTAGTAAATTTTACTTCAAATACAATGTTGTTGCCTGGTAACTCAGTAATTACTGGTTACAGTAGTCTTTGATATATACCTGGTTTTTAGGAATGAAAGGAAATAAATAAGACAGAGAAATGATAATTTACCAACTCAGTAGAGTTAATACATGAATAAATATGCAACATCGATGTTTGATCAAATATATACATAACATATTATCAATTTGTTGACAGCTTATTTGTAATATTCATAGTTGTACTCTATGCATTTCATCAAATTCAGAATCTTTTAATTAAAACTAAGCTAGTTTTCTTGTTATCGACATAAAAAATCAATCATCCCAGAGCTAGAGCCAAGAATACTACCCATTCAATAAAATAACACAGACTGCACAGCCAACATTATAAAAGAAAGCAAGATGTTGTCACCGAAGGTTCTTTGATACTTAAGTCTTATTGTGATTCCTGAAGTCTTGACGAAGAATGGTCTAAAACGCAAATATGCTGAGGTTGAGGTCTAATATCAAGGCCATGGAGTCTCTTTGTTTGGTGGACCCCATGGTTAAGATATGTGGTCGGCTTGGTGTTAGAGTACGGTGACCCAAATTCTGTTTGGCCAAGCTCAAAAAGCTTGCGTTGCTTTAAATCATTTTTGATATAGTGATTTTTCTCCTTCGCCGTTCGTGGTTTTTTTTCCCATCTTGAGCTTTCACATAAATCTTGCATCCTTGTTATTATTTTTATATTGCCTATCCTCGTTTTTGCGTAACACTTGGTATTATGCTAAATCGTTAAGGTTAGTCTTGTCAAGTGTTTAGAAAGGAAGATACACATTTCATTAATTTCATGTACAAAGCATAGTATCGAGATTATTTAGTCTCCATTAGATCCTATATATGTCATGCGTTCAACTGTATTTCGCAATAACAAATAGTTTTTTGCAAGAATTCTGCCATTGGAAAAAAAAAAAATTATACAAGTATTAGGCAGTTTGTTGTACTGTCTGCACAAATTACAATTTTCTTTATGAATGAAAATTTGTCAAGGGGTGACTGCAAAATTTCTTTACTAAAGTAGGGTCGAAAAGAAAAATTATGAAAATAACGGAAAAAGAAAAAAAAAAAAAAAAAAGGATTAAAACTTTGGATATTAGAGTTAGGGTTTGGCATTTGAGCATTGAAGAAAACTACTTTTCAATATATGATTGAAATCAGATGCTAGCATTGCTATATAGGTCGTTATGATTACACATGTTTTTGCGCGTGCGCATACGCGACGCCTGCTATATAAAATGAAATAAAAACCCTAGAAGAGATTGAGAGTAGAGGCAAAAAGGAGAAGAAGCAAATGATATAGAGTTGAACAGAGAATGGAAGAAGAAGGTATCAGCAAGAAAAGGGCTTTGGAATCTATTGTCTGCAATGAAAAAGAAAGAAGATAAAGACTTAAAGTTTGTTGATAAAGACTGTATCAGTATATATCAACATGTCACAAGATCCAAGAAAATTTAAAACGAAGGCATGCACAGTGCCAAGTTGGGCTACACCCTTTAAAGTTGCAAAAGGGTTTTCAAGTGGTCCTATATATGGAAATATAATGACAAAGGTAGAGTATAAGTATTATGTAGTAGAACTCGGTGAATTTCGAGGGTGAATTCCCCTCCTTTTTTTGGTTCAAGAAGTTAAAATATTATCTATTACAGTATCATCTAATAATGTATACAGCAACGAATCCAAGATGGACAAATTTTACCCCCATTTGGCCCCCCCCCCCCTTTTTGTTTTTTTTCAAATTTTAATGTTCGGAATAGTGTTTTTTGAAGAATATGTGGTTGAAAAAAATGAAAAGTTTTCGATTTACGTGTAATATTATTTTATAGAAAATCGTGTGATTGAAAATAAGAGAAGAAAAAAATGAAAAAGAATGGGGGCCAAACAAGTTTTTTTTTTCTTTTCTTTTTTTTCTTATATGACTGATACACAGAAAATAAAAATTTCAAACTTTTTTTTAAAGTCCAAATTATAATTAACAATTTTCAAATTTGTAATTGAGAATCTTCTAAGTCAAAATCAAGTCCCAGTTGAATTGTATTAGGAGTTTATTGAATTGTAATAAAAGTTATAAAATAATTAAGGATTGATAATATAGGTCTTTAAGAATTCCAAGATGTCAAAGATGTCCAAAAAGATTATATGTGATCAAGGGAATGCATTTAAAAGTTTAAAGAGTGTTAAAAGGCCGCACACGTTATGTTTCAAATTCTTAGTCGCAACTTTCGACGCATTTTTCACATAAAAAACATTTGAGTTTGGAGAATGCTACTGCAAGAAGAATTGTATCCATTTGAGTCATTTTTTCAACGCATTTTGAATCACTTCAATTGGACATCGAGAGAGTGACGGGTTGACGTACAAAATTTTGTTTTGCTTCAAACACTAATTTTTCAATCCTTTTCATCCCAAACACTTTTCCTATCTACCATACGAAAGTGCCAAAGTATGTTGAATTATAATTATTCCGTAGAGATCATTCATTTGAAGATCCAAATCACTTTTATTGATTTCATGATTCAACACCATATTATTTGAGCCATAAATTTATCTAAACTTAGATTTGTTGATCGGGTTATAAACCTTCATATTAAACCACAGATCAAAATACACAATATTATTTATCAAACAACAAACTTACATTCACCAATTAGCTTTCATAGTTACTGAAATTTTGGGATGAGATGCTTGGAGTTTCGACTCTGAAAAATGAGGTTCGTTCTTGGACGTTCACAGGAGACAAACAAGAGCTACTGTGAGGAGTACGCAGTTCAAGAGGGGTCAGAAGGGGCTAAGGTTTAGTCGGGTCTGAATCATACTGTAAATCTCATTGTTTAAAGTGAATTGTTAATTGGTAAAATGCATGGAGTTTTTAATCCTTTGCGAAGGGTTTTCTTTGTGATCATATTGGTGTTATTTATTTTACGCAATTTATAAATTGTGGTATTCAAACATATGATAAATTGACATCTTTGATCTAATTATCTAGAAACAATTAAAAAGTGACTTATTGCTTTTAATTGATTATTTTCACATGTTGGATCAAAATAAATCGATAATCTAAACTTTCATTTATTAAAGATTAAATGGGCTTGGGGCACTCTACGCACCTCAATGCATATCCAATGTACCGCTACACTAAGGTATAAACCTGTCATAGAGTTATCAAGCCTCTCTAAACTTTACCTCTCACTTAGTTTTGTTAAAGAATAGAGAGAATTATCTAGTCGTCTGCAGTGGGGAAGGAATTTTTCTTTATTGGGCTGAGGCAAAAACTAAGTAGAATTCTCATTTTTTTTTTTGCTCTTTTTTTGGTTGGAGAATGTGTATAATCTTGATAAGTCATGGATCTCTAACATTTATGTTTCTTATAATTATGGTCATTATATGTTTCTTATAATTATGGTCATTATTTTTTGTCATATAGCTATAACAAACTAGTACGTGAAACCAAAGTTAGCCTGATTTTTTGTAATAAAAATGTGTGCGAGAAATTTTCCTTTTCAAAGTCCATATTAATATTTCTCGTGTTTGTATGTGTGTAAGATAACACTACAAGTTAGCAGCCTCGTACATGGCAGTGAAATTTCTTAGTTTATCTCGACATTTTATTACTTTTTTCCTTTTTTTCTTTTTTTTTTCTAAAAAAATAGCTGTCTATTATCTGTTGTGGAAGCTTTCTTAAAAGATCTTCAAATCAGTGATTTTCGGGCTTAGTCCAACGCACCTCTCTCAACCAACAATCAGTCCAATCGGCTCCAAATCACAGCCAATTGATTCACCTTGATTGCTATTCAATCTTACCCACGTAGGACAAGAAAAAGATGATGATTTGTGGCCACAAAGGTTAGGAGAAGATACCACAAAGGTATACTATGAAGGAACCACTAACTGCACACGTTATACAAGAGTTCTGGACACTTCTGAAGACTTTTTTTCTCACACAAAGGGGGGCAGCCGGGATTCTCTTCTTCTTCTCTCAAAATCACACAATACATCATAAGAAAGTGGCTAGGGTTATATCCATATATATACTCTAGGGTTAGACATTAAGTTGGACCATTAAAGGGATAAACGAGCCAAAATTCAAGTCATCCATAAGGGAATACAATTGAGCCGGGTGTAGCTCATAGAATTGGTTGTTGGACTTATTTCATTCATCGGCCTATGCCTATGAAATAATATCAATCCACGTTAGCATCATTACTCGAGATTTATTGGGTATCAAAAATCCAACAAATCTCCAACTTGATACCCAATAAATCTGTAAGCAATTAAAACACACAGTTAGCACTTGTATAATCAAGGTAGCTAATAAAATTGGATCACAGATCTTACCTCGTGTTTCCAACTTGAAACACATATCATACTTACTCCATGTACTCACTGGGGTTAAGGTCAAAAACACCCAAATAGAAGCAAATATTTAACAGTAAACAATCAAGAGCAAATCGACGTGCGATGACGATATAATATAGGATAATACACACACATTTTTTTTCAGAAACACGTTCACAGAGAACCATAGATTAACACTAAGTCAATCAAACCACGGTCAACCACATATGCAACATATGCATAAATGATCCTAAGAAAAGATCTCACCACACTTATCCTATCCCATTCCGTGTTGCTCACACCTCGAGAACACGTATCTCCTCTCATCGCCCACTAAGCTCACTAGACAGATCACTCAACTCATGTCTAACTGGCAAGTCACAATAGATCCTAAGTCCACGGGATA